TTTTCATTCCATAGATGTTTAAATGTCCCAGCACCACTTAGTGAAAAGGTTATCCATTCCTCACAGATTGGCAGTGCCACTTTTATCCTTAATTCAGTAAAGAAAGTAGAAAAAAGGAAGTGAAAAAGATATGAGCATAAATTAATGATATAACAAATGTAATAGAGGGATTCAACAAAACCTTGACAAAGCTAATAAAATTGATAAACCTCTAATAAGATTCATACACTGAGAAAGATAAATCATAAACTACCAATAACAGGAACAAAGAGGAGGACATCACTGTGGAACCTAAACACATTAAAAAGTTCCTAAGAGGATGTTATAAACAAGCTTATGCCAAAAAGTTTGAAAATTTATGTGCAATAGACAAATTTCTAGAAATAAACATCTTATCAAAATTAATACAAGAAGTAGAAAATTTGACTAGTCCTATAACACAAAATAAATTGAATATATAATTAAAAACCTCAAAAAGAAAACTGGGCCCAGATGGCTTCATTAGCCAATTCGATCAAACATTTAAAGAAGAAATAACAACAATCTCACATACACTTTTTCGGAAAATAGAAAAATAAGACACATTCTCCAACTAACTTTGTAAGGCCAGCACAACCTCGATACAAAATCTATTGAAGGCAATACAAGAAAGGACATACGGCCTAACTGGTTTGGCTCAGTGGATAGAGCGTTGGCCTGCGGACTGAAAGGTCCCAGGTTTGATTCCGGTCAATGGATATGTTCACATGTACCTTGGTTGAGGGCACATCCCCAGTACGGGGTGTGCAGGAGGCAGCTGATCAATGTTTCTCTCTCATCGATGTTTCTAACTTTCTGTCCCTCTCCCTTCCTCTCTGTAAAAAATCAATAAAAAATATATTAAAACAACAACAACAATAACAAAAACACAAGAAAGGACATATATAAACATATATGAAGAAACCTAAACAAACTATTAGCAAACTAAATTCAACAATATATAAAAATGATAGTACATCATAACAGCATTGGGTGTATTCTAGAAATGCAAAATTGGTTTAACATTGGAAAATTAATCTGTTATTTACCACATTAACACAATAAAGGAGAAAAGTTATATAATCATCAATAGATATAAAAATTGATAAAATTAAGCACTGACCCATGATTATGAATAAAGAAATAACCCTTATCAAACTAGGAATAAAAAGATATTGCCTGAATCTGATAGTCTTTGCCAAAATGATGGGTGGGGAAAGATACCATTTTTCAATTTGCTTTACCCTGATACCTTCTAAAGTTGAGATTCTTTTCATGTTTATTAGTCATTTAGGTCCCCTCTTCTATGAATTACTTGATCATATCCTTTGATTAATTTTTTATTGAGTTGAGTGTATTTTTAAAATAAATGTTAGGCATACTTATAAATCCTGAATGCTAATCCTTTTAGCATGCAAATGTTTTTTCTCCAGTTTATGGCTTATTTTTTTATTATTTTTAAAGTTTTACATTTGTTTATTCATTTATTATGAATGGATATGTTCACATAAATAAAAAATCCAGAAAGTACAAAAGAACATACAGTGAAAGTTTCTCTCCCACTCCTGTTCTTTCATGCAGTTCCTCTCTACAGAGGCATTGTGACTTCATTCTTTAAGAACTTTGTTTATACTGTCATTTTTTTTATAGAAATTTGAATGTACTTAAATGTATCAATCTTTTCTTTGTGGATTGTGCTCCTTTTACCTTGTTTAAGAAACATTTCCTCTGCCTCATTAATTTATTCTTCTATACTGTTTTCTAAAATTTCTATATTTAGATCTTTATTCTGTCTGGAATTTTTTTTTGTATGTATGATGTGAGGTAGGGGTCACCTTTCCCTCCATATAATACAACTACTGGTCCTTACACTTTTACATTATGTGGTTGTTTCATCTACTACAACTTTCTATGTGATGGGAGACTATTGTTGAATTTCATCTATATGTTGGCAAATATAATGAACTAGTCCAGTTTTTAATTTCTGTTTTGTTTCTTCTTGCAGATGAGTGTGTAGAGTCTTAATAAGTACTGCCTTTCAGGCCCCATAATGTGCCCTTGTGTCCTGTAGCATGCCTGGAATTTGTGTAGGCTGTAATGAGGCAGGGAAAGGAGGGTTCCTTTGTCACAACAAACAAGGAGAAAGCTTTTCGCAGTCTCTTCGATTTACCAATGCCTCATCCGAAGCTTTCAGCTCTTATGTAAGAAATTTATTTTTTTTGAGCAAACTTAGAGTTTGTATTAAAATAAGATACTGCAGAGTAGGGCATTGTTATTGCTTAAATATAGTATTTTTTCTTTAGTCCTAGAAATCTCTTAAATTCTTCCATGCTTCTTGATATTCTCAGCTTTATATTGTGGGGTCATGTATTCTGTGGAAAGAATTAGATACATTACTACTTAGAGGAGTCATTTTTCCTGGAAGAGTGCTAAGTGTTGTGGAAGACTTAAGTGTGATTGTTTTTATTGTGGGAATGTTTGTATGAGTCAGGTGAATTTCGACTTTGCTTGACAGATGTGATTACTTGTCCTTTCTGGCTTGTGTTCTATGTACTCATCTGTTATATAACAGATGACTGTTTATATAATAAGGATTAGCACAAGCCATCTTCTATAATAATAAAAGCGTAATATGCTAATTAGACCGGATGAAGCCGGGACTGTGAGGGCAGCCCGGGTCCCAGGTACCTGCTGCGGTCCCAGGTACCTGCCGGCAGCCAGAGGAGGGAAGCCCGGGTCCTGGGTGCCAGAGGGAAGCCGGTGCTGGCAGCCGGGGGAAGGAAGGCCTACTCTTGCACAAATTTCGTGCATTGGGCCTCTAGAAATAATTTTTAATGGGTACAAACAAGTGGTGATGGCTCTGCTACAAGAGATTGAATAATATAGTTTTTATATGTAGCATATTAAAAGCAAAATGTACAGTAGTTAGGTATTAGGAAACACAGAATAGGGAAGGAATTATTTCTGAGTCAAAGGAGCTTTGCCAGGAATATAACCCAAGTAAAGTAGGAGTAGAAAACCAGCTAAGATCAGGAGCCAACAGAACATTAAAAAAAAAATTGATTCTAGAGAGAAGAAGGGAGAGAGAGAGAAAGAGAGAGAGATAAAGAGAGAGAGATAGATAGATAGTGATGTGAGGATTGGTTGACTCCTGCACGTGCCCTGACCAGGTATCAAATCTGCAGCCTGGGTATGTGTCCTGACTGGGAATAGAACCCACCACCTTTTGGTGTACGGGATGGCTCTCCAACCAACTTAGCCACACTGACCAGGACTTGCTGAGTATTAGTGATAGAAGAGTGAAATTAGAAACAAAATACTATTGACTTTTTCAAGTGCCTTAGAAGAATCTGTCTGAGGAAAGACTGGATTTAGATCATGAGCCAGAGGCATCCAGAATTGAAGGATTTTCAAATAAAACCTATTTCTGGACCTGGACAAGGCTGAATTAACATCTATATTTTTACGTACCTGTGCCTTACATTCTAGTGAAGCCTTTTTGGTTATGAGGAACAGAATTCAAGAGTGTTTGGCTCAATTAAAGGGAGTTGACTATAAGGAAATACCTACCTGTGTAGGGACCCAGGAACCAAAGAACCCTATAGGTAATTGTCTTCAAAGTGTCTATGACACTATTTAGATTTAGTTTTAAGTCTTCAATAGTATCATCATGCTTACTGTCATAGTTCCTGTGACAGTAAACATGATTAACCTGAATGTAGCGGTTGGCAGCAATTGGTCACTGCATGGTAAATACCGTCTAGTAGTGACTGTGTTCCCAAGAAGGACTTAACTTGATGATTACCCATTGCTCTGTTAGGGGGAACAGCTGCAGGCCTGATGTTTTACAAGTATTTAACAGTAATCATTCAGGGTTTGACTGTTTTAATAAGGAAATGTAGTCTATGTGACTAGCAATTCTAATATGTTATTAGATTTGGGAGGCTGTAAGGATCTGTATCTTCCTATGGTATATGCCTGAAATTAAGAGGCAAATTCAAGTCACATAATAGAGGCTATCTGGTCTCTTTTCTTTCTTTTTTAAAATTATTATTATTTTAAATATATTTTTATTGATTTCAGAGAGAGGAAGGGAGAGGGAGAGATAGAA